ACTATGAAGAGAGAAACTAAAAATAAAAATGCCTCTTTATTATTGGATGCAAAGGATAGAACGTCGATGTTTGATCATTTTGAAATTCACCAATAAAAGTTCTAAATGAAAAAAAAATACAACTGATATCATGAGTTGAATTTCAAACAATAAGATTGACAAGCAACTTATGCTTATTTGATTATTTCTATTTTTCTTTTCTGATTGATTTAGTTACTGAAAAATACAACAACTCTTCATGGCAAGCGCATCAACAGGAAACAAAATTCCCGATGAGTGAGAAAGATAAAAAAACCTACATGAGTTCTTGTATTTTACCACTTGATGTACTTGCAGAATAGCACGGCATATTAAGATACCTAGTCTTTCAAGACAATTCCATGGTGATACTTCATCGAACAATAATACTCTTCATGTTCTACAATGGAATGTTCTTGCACAAGGTGAGACAATACGATTTATTTTCAACAATGTTATCTTCTCTGTCATTTATATTTCCAGCTCTCTCATATACAAAAAACAATTTTGTACGCGTTCCGGATGATGTAGTTGCTTTCGAAAATCGTAAATGGCGAATTCTCGAACAAATTATTGCTCGTAGGCCGGATCTATGTGCTTTAGAAGAGATGGATATATTCAATGATTTTCTGAAAGATGAATTACCAAAATATGGGTAAGTGGTATTTGTTATCAAAAAAAAATTCTAAATATTTTGTGAAACATGATCTAAAAAGATTATTGCAGTATATAATGTAGAAATTTTCACTTCTTTTTTTCTGCTCAACTCGCGAGAGACGACCACCAATGACTATTATAGATCGTGACAAACGAATTCTAGAGACTATCATATATCATAACTAAACTAGTTCCTTATTGTAGTTCTATAATGTTAACTAAACGATGAAGAAATGTACCCGAAAATAGATGCAATAAAACAATTTTCATATAAGTAGCAACAATAGCAATATCGTGTTTCACATTTTAATTCCATAGAGATTATACTAACCGCTTTTTCACTTTGCAGATATACATGTCACTTTGTGAAGAAGATAAATTCAAAATGTCTTTTATTTGAAAATGATACAGAAAATTTCAAAGGTCCTGATGGTACACTATTGTGTTTCAAAACTGATCTATTCAAGGAACTGGGTCGTGATGAAGGTCAACTGCCAGATGATGGGCGACAAGAAAAACATGTTAGTGATCATACATATTGCCCGATTACCCATTTGTTTAAAAGAAAAAGGAATGAAAACTGCTTCGTTGATTCGTTCGTTCATAGATTTGTGATCCTTCGAAATAGATGACGATTATCACTTGTCTATTAAGGAAACTATCGAATGAAAAGATAGATTCGATGATGTGTAAATCATGTTAGAACAAGAATCTTCAGGCACTTTCTTTTCAGAAACTAGTTTTTGTTTCAAGACAATGGAACCAGCCGAAAGTTTCAGGAATTGTGTGTACAAGCATAGAAAGCTCATAACCGAAATTTCAACTCGAAAAAGTCAGTTTTTTAAGAGTTATTCTAATATTAGGAGTTGAAGATGTAAGTGTACGTGTGTTCCATGTCCTGCATGACAATCTAATGACACAGGATTCGAGTTGGTATTCATACATAATTTACACTTAGCAATAAAGCTCATCACAGTCTAGAAATGCAACAAATCCTGAGTAGATTTACTATATGGATTCGAATTTTTAATACAGCAGAGTTAGTTTGACATACAAAGGATTTGAAAATTAAGATATAACACTATATAAAAGACCTATTTTCCCTAAAAAAACTACTGCAAAAATAAAAGTTTGGCTCTCTTAAGTTTTAGCTTATGATTTTTTTTTTCAATTTACAACTAATCCTGGCCTTCTGGTTAGAGCATGCGCTCCGCACTCTTCATGTCAAAAATTCGTAGTCGATGTCAGAGGTTTTGAATCACTGATATTCGTGAAACATTTTCCATTAGTGATGTTTTACAAGATCTCTAGAAAATCGTAAGAAGCCCATCAGAAAACTCCTGAAAATGATCGACATTCTTAAATTAGCAAAAGTACGCTGAATAGTGTATATGAATTACAAAATAATTAATAGAACATGAATTATTATATAATTACAGGTTCACACTCGATAATGAGGGGCTGTGAATGTTAACAAAAAGAGAGAGCTAGTATGGACACCGCGGAAACATGTGGCTTTCGTTACCAGTGATAGTCTCTGATTAGTTCTTCTAGACTCTGACGGTTATTAAAAGATCAAGTAGCACAGTTACTAATAGAAATTGTATTCAAGGTTCACTCAAGAATCTATGTAAATTTGAATTTTTTAAAAATTCATTCACGTCATGAACTGCTTCTTCTGGATTCTATCTGAGTTTATTCTAACTTCGAATTACGGTTTTTCGTAATCATAAGTTTAGACAGAGTTTTGCAAAGGTGATACTGGAAAGATTTTTTAAAGAAATAATCGCATAAAAAATTTTTTATTCGCATACGACTTTCAAATATTATCAGAATCAGGAACTGTCTTCATTTGTCGTTTATATTTACTATTCTATTTGTTAGTCTTATGGAATCATGTCGAACTTGAAAAAATGTATTAATACTATGTTTAGATTTTTGCTATTCTCGAGTTGGAGCACAAGCCATCATCGAAAAAGATTATTTTTATCGGTACTCATTTGAAAGCCCGTAAAACATTCGCAACTTCGAGAACTGCTCAAACAGAGGCGCTTATTCAACATATCAAAAATAAATATCCAATGCATACACACATGATTCTAGCCGGTGATTTTAATGGAGACACTGTTGAGCCATTTTACTCAGAAATTACCAACTACGGCTTTCGAAGCGCCTATCCTGCCATGTTGAACAATCAAGAGCCGCAGTATACTACCTGGAAATTTAAGGGACGTGATGGAACCGAAAAGGAGTCTTGTCACACAATCGATTATATTTTTTATACTCCAAAAGGATTTACACCTAAAGCTATTTTACAGTTTCCAAGTAAAAAAGAAATTGGAGATAATGCACTTCCATCGATTAATTATCCATCGGATCATTTGGCACTTGAAGTCATATTCAACATTCAATGATAAACTTCTTCCTGTTCATATTGACTATCGTATTGGGAAATGAGTTGCACTATAACTTATATCGGTTGCTTCACTAACTTACTCTCACATATGTTAACATGTACTGATTATTATTGTTCCAGTACAAAATAATCATAATAGAAGAGTCGTCGCATAAAATATCCTTTGTAAATTTCATGAGATCTCTTTGGCACCACTTTCTTATACTTTTTTCTCGCTGAGTCACTATAGAATCACTAAAATCGCTTTCTTTTGTTTTGTGCTGTTATTGTCTTGAGGCACAAGAAATTAAGTAACATAGCGAATTGATTGGATGTGTTGAGGAAAAACCGGAACTATTTTTGAAAACTTGCCATTTTCTCCTTTTTTGAAGTAGTTTATAAAGAAAGTGTCGGTGCCAGTGTGGGTCCAACTACACCAGATGTGAGTGATGCGTTGATAAAAACATAAATGAAACAATATTAACAACAAAACAGATAAAGATTTATTATTAACATATCATGATGGTATTGCTAGTATTTCTAATCAAATGAAAAAAATGAAATGATATAAAACAGTTTTCAAATGTGACTAGTTTACTCCTACAAAAAGTGGAGGAACGAAAATCTCTCGATCAAGTGAAAATTTTCAACTAGAATTAACTCCTAAAAAGATTAACAAAAGCTTTATTTTTTGTATTTAGGTCGGTACCAATAGTTGTATAATGGGATTTAGTTTTAAAAGATAGATTAGGTTGTCGTTTATTGTGGCTTTTGGAACAGATTGTGTGATAAAATGTTTGATAAAGTTTATGTAATATTCCTCTGCATTTGGAGAGCAGTTCCCTTGCATGTAAGACTTCACTATGCATTGTCTGTAAGGTTATTTTGCCTTTGAGAACGTTTTATCCGATTTCGAGATTAGTTTTCTATGCATTAACGTGTTTGTCATGTTTTGGGATGTCCAAAAGTCCTGAAAGTCTTAGCAAAAGTTTATAAAGTAATAAAATCGAGTGAGAATTTCAGTTTCCCAAGATACGTTTTTTCTAGTTAGACAATACATTTTTTTTTAACCCTGAAGTCCTCCTCAAGTGCAAAACTTGCTGTTACAAATTTAATAAGGTTTGATGATGAAACATTGAACTTTGACGCCTTCCATACCAGACTAAACTATTTTAAAGGACCAGTCTTTAAATGCTCTGGAAAGTTCTTGGCAAATCCTGTTTATAGTCAGAACCAGTTTTTGATGGTTATGCATTTTACTCTATAGCAGAGCTCCTATTTTTTTCAAAGTATATCACTGTGCTCGTTTTAATAACAATACCGCTTTGTTGTGTAGCTGTTATCAACCTAAATTGTTCAGTAGATCTCATATTGCTGAATGAGTTGCTCGAATCATATTTTAACTCATGTCAAAACAATGTGAGATTGTTTAGAGAACTTGTATTCATTACTTAGAAAAAATACTGATTAAAAAAAACTGCTTCATTGTTCAATGTTTACTGTCTTATTTTCTGCTACAGATGCAAAACAGAATGACTAATGCATTCCTACATTTCCTCATAGGTCTTAGATACGACTCCCTAGATAATTAATATTTTTGTAGCAAAAATGTATCAGGATATTCATCTCAACACAGAGAACTTTTGGTAAAATATTATTTTTATATACATTCGACATCGCTTTATCAAATACAACAACTTAGCCTGCTCTTATTATTAAATTTACTTTTGTCCATTTTTATTCTCACATGACACAATGACTGTGTTCTTCATTCATAAATTAAGAATGAAAGAAATTTATTTCCATTGTGATAACATATGGAATTTAATTTCTTCTAATGATTGATTTAAGCTGGTAAGATTATCTTGCATTTGTCATGTACTTTCTTCAGAGAATTGACTTAATTTTGTCAAATCATCTTGTATTCGTTTTAGATTACTAATTGATTCATTTGAAACATTTTTATTATAGCATTTGTTTCTTTTATTTTTCCAATATTATCAAGATGTAAATCTTGAATCGATCTAAATCAAGGAAAACTTCCAAATTAAAATCTTGTTTTATTTTTCTCATTAAATTACGTTAACGATGTAGATTTTGATGCTTTTGCTTCGGCATGAGTATATTCATTTGTTGATGCACCTTCAAATTCGTACCAGTCTTTAATAAAATCTTTATTTATAGGAATTATTTCTACAAAAAAAATTAATTTTTAAAGAATAAAATAAATTAACTTGAACCTACTAAATACTTTCGCTCGACGATCTGCTGAATTTTTCGAACAAATTCGTCCTATAGCAAAGATCATCATACGACATAGATGACAAACATCATAAATGAGACTTATTGGTGGAAAAAACGGTGAACGTATAAAATATTCACGTGTAAATACATATTGTTGAGAATGCCAAATATTTTTTGTATCTTCATCTACTTGATCAAATCGTTTACTTCAAAATTATTACTTCATTTGTATAGTTATCGATTATATTGAATACTTACCTAAATATTGCAATAAGCAAATCAATAAGTAAAATATTCACAAAAAGCATATGAGCAGCAAGTAATATATGTGTTGCAATTGACCAACTGGCGTCAGGATATGCTATTTGAAAAAATAAATAAATGTTCTGATGACGTTTATTATCCGAAGGTACTGCTTTTATATTTTACATTCCAAAGAACTCGAAATGCATAACAATCTGACGTAAAAAGATAGATGTTAACTTTTTCTTTTTGAATAACAGATGTATATTGACTTATTCTAAATACACTGACAAAGTCAGTCCTATAGAACGAAGTTTCGCTGAATCATTATTAGAAAATTAGCACTCGCAATGTAATTTCATGCATTTCTATTTACAAAACCTGCATGTTCAAACGATATTTTTGAAAAGTAAATAGGGAATTTTATAAAGAATTCCTGAGATTACACAATCTCTGGATAAGTTTTCTGTCGAATATACTTAGGTTTTCTTTGTCAAAAAATTAAGCTTTTTTGTTGTTAGCAACATGAATGAATAGGAATATGGGAACAAAAAAATCTTCGTCTATTTGAATGAAGAGTATAAATTTCTCTTGGCTATCGTGAAATGATAGAGAAACAAAGAAGTCTCGTTCTAGAATTAGAGCAGACGTTTTTTCGAGGTAAGCTTTTCGGGTTTGATTTTTGCTAAAATTTCAATATATATATATATATATATTTTATAGCATGAAGCTTAATTTGAGCTTCTTCGAGGTTTTCATTATAAAATAAGCTAATTACGTGTTAATTAATCTTTCATCAAGTGCAATTAGGCATGAGTCGGAAGAGTCAATATTTATATATATATATTAATGACAAGCGTAGCACTAATATACAATCAAAGTTATATTAAAGGATTTCATGACAAGTACTCTCGTGACACTTGCTTCTAAAAACCTAGACCCATCAACACGAAAACCTTCGTTGGTTAATATTTCTATCAGGAATGAATTCATATGTACACATGATGTGCTTCTCTGAAGTCTGTTCATCATGATTAATTGTTTTAGATTTCAGAATACTATTAGCATTATTCAAATAAGAATGTGTTTCGTATACTAACTGGTAGCATAGATTGAATGGACGTGTTTTGTATTTCAATTTTCAATCGATTAATTCGTTGTATTAAAAATATAGTATGCGACAAGATGCAGCATCGAAATTTGGTCGCACACAATTCTGTGTAAATTGTAGAGCTTTTCATGCTGCATCTTGTCGCATATTATATTTTTAATACAACGAATTAATTGATTGAAAATTGAAATACAAAACGCGTCCATTCCATGTGCTCCGTCAATTACTAAATCAAATATTAGTGGCCTGGGTTGATTGTTCAAAACCCTGAACAATACCTTTTTTGATTTCAACAAAAAATGAAAAAAAGAATAGAAGTAGATTTCTTCTTTATATTTAATGCTATTTTAAAGATAGTTGTAAGAGAATTATTTTTCATCGAATTGACGGAAAATGTCGAAAGAATGTGATAGAATAAATAGATTTTTGCAGTATACATATGTTTTCCATTTTGACCTGTTATCAGACCTCGAAATCGGGCCACTTTTTGATGACCCGACCTGGTCCATACCGAGCCAAGAATTGATCATTCCCATCCGGTCCGTCCGATCAGTTAACTGTGCCCCGCCGGCCCGGTCCGAATAGGGATGGCTATTTCTTGTTAATTTATTTTAATTTTAAACTTCATGAATTATAAATGAAGAATAGATTTAAACTTTGAAAATTTAAATTAATTTTCAATTTTACTTTTTCAGATGTGAAAATTTGAATTTATTTTAAATGTAAATTTATAAAATTTACATTTAAAATAAATTTCAACTCTCATATCTGAAAGCTTAAATTTATTTTTGGACTTGTTAAGTTTTCGTAAATGCAAAATTGATCGTCTCTACACTGGAGTAATTTATCAAATCATGAAAAAAAAGTTTATTAATTATCATGGCGATCACGAGTTGAATAAGGTTAGACAATTTTAAGTCTAAAAAAAAGTCTGGAAGATAAGTCAAATTACTTACTGAATCAATAGAGTAAGATGAGTTCGTCGATACTTCAACTTCTAGAATCCTACCATTTACTAGCATGAACCTCGACGAAAAACTTGAATAAAACGATTATGTTTTTGTTTAAAATTGATTAAAATGATGCTATTTAATTCTGACTGAAATTCAATTTTTCAATTTGAAAAATAGATTTCAATTGATTTTACTATTTCAAATCGATTTTTAGTCGAATAATAGTCTTATTGATTGAAATTATTTTTTAGAAACTGATCAGGAATGATTGAAATCAAATGAAATCTATCCTTAAAGCTGGCAAGTCAGATTTTGTTGGATTCAAATAGTCTCATTTTAATTGACACTTGTTCGTAAAAGAAATAATTCTAATTTAATTTATCGAAATTTTTTCTTACATGAGTCATTATTAATTGATTGTTCATCTCAGCGCCTGGTATATGTATCAAAGTCTAGGCTAATGTGATAATCACGATTTGCTAAGGTAAGGAGTTCAAAAAAACCAAAAGTTTGAGTTTCTAACTTAAAACTCGAGAAAAACTCGTTTTACGACCATCTCCATTTAAATCAATTAAAAGTTAAATATTCTAATTTTGATCAAATGACGATAGTCCCATCACAATCGATTTTTAACTAGGAAGAAGTCGATTACAATCAGTTATTTCTTTTCCCTTGCGTGAGAAATTTCCCTTGCAAAAAAAAAGTTCGAGTCAGATGGTCCTGCAGAATTTTAAGCCTGCCCGGCCCACCGGTCTTCGCTGATGAGACCCATTCGACTAGGAATAAAATCTTTTTGGGCCGGATGGCTCGTTTCGAGGTCTGCCTGTTATTGATTGTTGCTTCGTTGATTTGATTACTCTATCTTAATATCATTATAATAATTCATTCACTATAGACTGAATAATTAGTTCATCATAGCTACAAGAGTGAAAGCCGTAGCCATAAGTCTACCATCAACTTCGCATTCTGTTGTTTCTTTTTTGACATCAAATAAATGTCAGATTTAAAAATGATGAAACGAATTCCAAATAGTTGCTGGCCTTATTATCTTTGTTGAAATGCAGTGTTGTCATTCGTGTCATTAAATGCATTAGGATTTGGATAGTAAACCATTGAACGAGAAGCAACATCATAACCTGCCATGACAATAAAAATAATGTACATGAGGAATGAAAGATCTTTAAGCTAGACAAAAAAAATTGATTTATTTTTATTCAAATGAAAAAACGTCTATCAATACCATTCTTCCCACGGCTAAAAGATGTGGTCCAAGAAATCCTATAACAATAATACATGATAGCGAGCGAAGGTACCAAATTTCTAGATCAAAGGCCATCACTACCCTATATTATAATAATTAAATGTGTTTATTAACGTGAG